TAGTTGTGAAAGGCTTCTCACGTCAGCTTGCTGACGACTTTGTTTCCTTGCAATGTGATCCAATAATACGCCAACATTGTTTTTACTGATAAGCTCGCTTACTTTCTGTATGATCCTGCACTTGTATCGCCAAACCAGCCCTGCTTGCAATCATTGAGTTATAATATAGTTGCTTCTGGTATTACAGGTGCTTTTATTAGCATTTTATTTATTTTGACTTGTTTGAAAAGAGACAAAAAAGGCATAAAAGCCTCAGAAGTTTCTATGCCGTCTGATTTGTAAAAGAGTTTAATAGACGCCTTTTATTGAAGGATATTTCACAAAATTGGCTGCAATATTATATCTTCTCGCATGCAATCGCATCTATTCTTGATTAAATGCTGGCAGATAAATGAAGTTCAGAATAATTTTGACGTAGGAAGAATTCCTAATAGCTCTGTTTGGGATTAGTGCCTTGGAAAAACTGTCCGCATCCTTCCACGAGAACGTTATTTCTGCTAATATCATAAGCTTTCCATCGAAGCAAGAGAAACACAGCATGTTGCTGCAATTAATACGAAATATCACTGAGTAAGCTTGTCTTTCTGGGCATCTTTATAGCTTACAATTGATTCCTTTCTGCATGGCGTCTAGTCATAGTCAAGCAAATGGAACAGAACAAGTATTCACGCTAAAAGACCATGTGACCATTTGAGTAAATGTCCTCCTCTTTTTACGAAAGCTAATGCTGTTTTTCCTCTTTTCTATTCGTCTCACTTGATGATCCTTGTTGTGATATAGATCAGTACCTGCTGATGACAGAGATCAAGAATGTTGAAGACCTAATGATAAATGAGTAAATAGAAAGACTTACTTCATTTAATAGCCCAAAACGATTCAAACTACTGGCTTATGACTAGAAGACGGTTTGACTGACCACGGCGATGAATTGAGAATATATTAGCCGGCCTAAGGGGAAGTAAAATTGTAATATTTACATTATATAGCAAGTAAAGGATTCTCAAAACGGCTTCAGATCAATCTGTTCCGACTTGCTTTATTAGCGTGCCCTTTAGAAATAATTAATCAATTAATCAATTGCAAGTCTTATAGTACCACCTTAAGGTACTATTAAGGCGCCAAGATGGAGTGTTGATGCATTTTATTGCTGACCTGGAAGATAATCCTAGATTGATAAATAATTGCATCTTTGTGATTCATGTCCAGCCATAAAAAGTTATTGATTTGATTTTGGTGGCTATTGGATCCTACTTTTTTACTTTTCTATCTAAAGAATTAATAAATCTCAGAGCATAGCGTATAAAGCTTACAAATACCAGCTTACAGCTGAAGGTAGATATTCAAGAGTCCCACACGAAACATGGCAAGAGACCAGAAATTGATGTACGGCATACGATCTACTTAAAAGATTCAATTACAAGTGATAGATTGCTACATATATTCCAAGAATAATATTTACCAAAATTCCTTACTTAGCTGTTCGTGCCTCCCTCTTTCTGCGGGTTTGTGCCACCTGAAGATTGACTCACGATAACTTTTTCATGCTTACCTCTACGTCTGCGCTCTAACTATATAGCCGGAATTGTAGCTGACTGAATCAGTGAAAGTAGACTTTACCAAGACACGAATGTTCGAAAGGCGATTTTCGAATTGCATCCCGGTGCTAATCGGAGGTTCCAACGAAAGAATTGAATAATCCCTTTAAACATTTTTCGTCCATAAGTAGGCTTTCGTGACTACCGGTAGGTCATATATATGCGATGTATTCACCTAACTTCGTTAAGGCGATGAAGGACTGGCAGTCGAATTTTCCCACTTTGTTATGAATAGGCCCATTGCTTCAATTTCATTTCACATGGCCTTGCTTCTAAATAGGTTTTCTCATCCAGGCTGGAGTAGACTTCAGTTTATGCCTCGCCTAGATCCCATAACCACCCAAAGCGGGACTCTAACAGTAATAGTACAGTATATAATTACCAAAGAATGTGATATCAGAACATGCTTATATTCTTTGAAATTTATGTTTGTTTTGTGCCTAAATGGCACTCGTAGCAGTGTGGTCTAATGGTAATCGTGTCGGGAATATGCACTACAGCATCATGATTCGGGTCCCGCTGAGGGAGTATAAGAGGCCTAGATGATGCTGAAACTATTGTCTACTCCCGCTTGGATGAAAATACCTTTTGGGAAGCAAGACTATGTGGAATTCAATAGCCTAAATCATTTTGGGAAAATTCAACTTCCATCCCTTCATCATAGTAACAAAATAGGATGAGTTAACGTAATATACTTCTAATATTGTCTATATAACAAGCCCAACCTTGACTCAAAAAGGTAAAAAAAGTATCAAATAACTCCTCCCAGATCATATTGCATATGATGTTGCTTTGCAGAGTGTTCTATGCAGGAAGACTAAACGAAGAGAGATTCCAAAGTGGTACAGGCTCCTCTTTTTGCGCTTATCCAATGTATCTGACAATTCCACAGACCTAAACTTATTATAAATGATCGTCAAGTGTTGTCACCTCAACCCAGAATTAAATGCCTTATTTCATAGATATTTATGTTTTTATCGAGTGCAATACCATTTTTATTCAAATAAACTTTGAATCAGAGAAATATGACCGCATTTTACGAGTTCTGGTTAACCTAATCTGTATAAGGTCACGCTAGTCTGATAAGTGCATTTTTCTAAAAAGTATTCTCATCCAGGCCGGACTGCAGTTTCGACCTCACACCCAATTTGGGAATTAGACCAAGTTAGTTTAACGTATACTCTCTGCTGCAAGTGCCTCTGCGTCACAGGCCAGACCTCCTCTATATCACAGATGTAGTGGGATTATCGATGAGGTAAGCTTATATTTCCAAGTAAAACTGACTACGTTGCTTTCACTTATATAAAGTTGACTTAGAACCTATACGTAAATTAGCATGGAAACATAAGACCTACTCCTACCGTTTTGGGATAATTTTAATTTGAGTCCTTTAGCACCTTACATGATCTAGGGTGACTGGAATCATTATTTAATATTTACTTATTGTATTTAAACCTTGTTTATATGAAGCAAAGGTGTGAATATTTTGGTAATATCCACTCTTACTTAAAGCAACATGTACAATGGCAGATAATACAGTAATTCGGTTTTACGTCTATATCCATCTGTTTTCTTCCGTCCATGCGCTACAGGGCAATCTAGCTCCGACCTCCCTGAATGGTTTCTTTCCACACGCAATCACCTTCAACTCCGAGCACTTCGCTCTGACTGCGGATGAGCAAACCGTCCCTGCAGGCCACCTGCCAACCGACACATTTCCAGTTGAAATAGGGCCCACCTCAGAATCATCTTCTTCTGCGGCATCTGGTGCTTTGGCATGCATGCCCCCAGCGTCAGTAGCGCCTGCTGGCCAAGCATCTAACAGCCGAGGGGCTATAAGGCTTCAAGGCCCGACTACTGTGGTCGGACTATTGCCTGAAGGTACCAACTCTCCTGCATCCTCCAGCCTCGTCGCGTCTGCTTTAGTTGGCAGTGGCACGGCTTCTGCCTCTCTTCTGCCCAGCGAAGTGGCATCAACCTTCCTGCAGCCTGCTGAGACTCCGACTTCTGAAGCAAAAGCAGCTCGAGATGGACAGTCTCGACTATCAGAGAAGGAGGCCCGCCGAGAGAGAGCAGACCGTGAGAAACGGGAACGCCGGGAGCGTAAAGATCGAGACCGTGAAGACAGGACAATAATAGCCATGGACGAGAATGCTAGAAACATCAAAGACAAACATGTCAGTATAAAGCTGCAGGAGAAAGAGAATGAAAAACTTAAGTTGAAAAATGATATATTAGACCCGGAGGATTCGATTGTTGGTGCCAAGGATTCAACATCTTGTAAATTCTTTATCCGTTTTGTGATCTTTACTAAAGAAACAGATTTTAAAATCTACAGTTTACATGCTACCTAATAGAGCATCCATCAATATGGATTGATATTTAAAACAGGAAAGCCTTGAAATCTATTTTTCAGTTCGTTGTTTAAAATTTGTCTCATTGCAACAGGTTGCAACAGGTTGCTTGACGCAAACCGCGAGTGCTTCATGGCGCTTCACTGACCAAGTTATCATGAAACCAATTTTGCATAATCTTGTAACCTTTGCTTTATTCCAAAACTTCAGAACTTATAAGTTTTTATTCTGGAAACAGACAACTACAGCTACCTTCAGAAGCCTTCGAGAGTTTCCTTAGTAATCGTCTGCTTGAAACTAGAGTTAATTGTTCCTGCTGCTATTATATTTGCCTTTAAATCAATTTGGCACAAAACCTCGAAAATTAGAAGTCCACATGTCTAACGCCATTTTAGTTTTAAATAGTACTCCACATGCGGATGACACTTTAAACCCGCTAATTGACCGAGGGCAGGTTGAGCTGGGGCTTAAAAAATTCAGTTTTTCTCCTAGAAGTCGCTTTTTATCTTTTATCATTGTATATTTGCATGGGCTAACAAACTCTGGACCAGTCAACTTTTTTAAAAGTATAGAACTTTTAGCGTCGGTTGGTGTTGGCAAGAAAATGTGAGCTAAAATAATACCTATTTTATGACCCAATTACACTAATGCTCATGATTACATACACATAAACATATTCTATCATCCATCACTTCTTCAACTCTAGCTGTCTTTCTTAAGAGAGGCCGAAAAGCTGTTGATTTAATAGTCAGCAATTAATAGCCGAAATTCTATTTGGCCATTTTTGTGATAGGGAAATTTTAGATTTATCGCTCCTAAATGATATTAGTTGGAGCGGATTTGACAAAATAACGAAAAGTTCATTAAAGTAAGGCATTTGAGTACAAAGTCTTTTTCATCCTAGCATCTATTTCTTTAATCTGAACACATTATCTAGTAACGTGGCTCATTTCCTCATGCTTCCAAATGCATGCCGGTTTTAAAATATCCCTATATATAAACTCACATGTACCATTTACACAAATGACTGAACCAGGCTTAATGTTCAAGCGAGACTTAACCCAAGAGAAATTATCTCAGAATATGTTTTAATCTTGAATCCATGGTGTAGACGCTACAGGATGGCCTGCAGGTTCAGAAGCCGTCCGAAACCTCTGCTAATGAAGTACTCTTCTTTTTTGTCCACGCAATGCAATCCTTTAAATATGGATTCACCTTAGAGTCTTCTGCAAGATACTTTAATACTTAGTCGAAGCATTGACTTATTGTTAAAGCACTTTGATACAAAGTAAAATAATGAAAGGCCAGCTTCTGGAATTACTTGTCTTTTAAAATAAGCTTCAGAATCTATGCATTATTATTCACCATTTTTATGCCATTTTGGCAGAAATAGATCATCTGGGCATGTAATATTTTTCAAGCTGTAGATAGAGCCATGTCGGACGAGGTTATAACTGCCTCATCCGAGCTTAGTCCTACCAAAGTAATCTGTTTTATTATTTAAAACTTTGTGAATACCAATTCATGTGTAATCACAGACAGCACCACACCTTCCGAAATTTTCCTATATCTTTCGTCTCCCTGATGAGCATCGCTTTGAATCAGACGCATTCTTTCACATTTATCCTATAGCACACAAAATCCTCCGAATTCTTTCATTATATTTCGCTGTATTACTAGTAATCACTGTAACTTCCAAGTTTGATATTAACTTTGAATCTCATTTCCCATCCCCCCAACCCAATTGGCATACACTCGCAACACATACAAATGATCACAACTACTATATGAAGCCATTCACGCTCTCCTCCCTTCATCAGCACTGTCGCTGCGAAAGGCAGCTGCACATTCAACGCCACATTCAGCCTATTCCACCCCGAATCAACTAGCTCACTCTCCGATTTTTGACGTCCTGGTTCCAAGCCATGGCGTTGGTCCGTCTATAACCTCACACACTTCTGCCAAGAAACCAATTGCAAGTTGGCCAGCCACGCCACGTACCAACTTTCCCGAGGTTCTGCATGCTGTTCCAACTACATTCTCGGAGTTCTCCAATCTCTCTCCAAACGTATACCCAGCCTCTTCTATTTCATCTCCCGCCCAGGACTCTGCGCATCTTGTCCCCTCCGCCTTACCCACTACCAGCCTCACTATGTCTCAATCAACACCGAGTCCCTGCGGCTCGAAAACCTCAATGAAATCACCTTTTAATCGGCCAGTTAAGATAGCATCATCGAAGACTTCGACTTCTGACAGAACTTCGGAAGAAGCCAATTCATGGAAATTCAATCGCAATTCTCTCAGCTCCACTCAATCCCCAGTTGGACTGCCAACCTCCGCGTTTGCAGTGTCAGGTTGTGAATCTGCTTGTGCTCCACTTTGTATTGTTCTAACTTATCCACGAAATACTGCTTTATAACAGACACAAATACATATAGGCACACATGAATATGCTAGTACCCATGCACATCTATGCACAATAACTTGCACAAATACACACAATTGCAGGCAAATATGGACTTACACGAGCAACCGTATGCCTTTCCATACATTTGAATCTATCTATTCTTAACTCATTTATTCTACTTTTCTGTCCGCAGATCTACTTGGGCAATCTATTAAGGTGGACAAAAGACAAATTAATGTTTGCATTTCCGGAACTATACTTTATTATTAGCTCGAAACTGAAGTTGAGGTCAAGTCGATCCAATGCTTCGGCATTTGATCGAATTAGGTCAGGGCACAGGTTTTATGGTTTGCAGATGTCTTTTGCAGCACCAAACACAAACATCTTTGACTGGAAATGGCCTTACTTTAGGTAAGGCTCAGTCTTCAATAATTATTCAAATCTAAATAACACCCAAAATGTGGATCCGAGGACAGATTGTATTAACCGAATATCTTAGCTCCATATGCTGGCAGTCAAGTCTAGCAGTCAGAGAAGAGGGAGCATCTTGTCTGGTATTCTGAAAGTGGGTCGACTTGCCTGCATCGTATAAGGCTTTATAGCAAAATAGCACAACAAGCCATATTTAGCCCTTACTCCTTTAATTTTCGTTATTCGTCCCAATCATGCTGATTCAGGTGAGTCCACGACTGTCAGCCCAACAGAGGAATGGTCAGAAATGATGACAGACTCAGGCCCCGCAGACGGGCAAACTAGCGGCTGGCGTGGATGGAGATTCCGACATGGGGTGATAGATAAAATTGGCGCGGCTTTTAGTGCAGCCGCAACCTACATGACAACTTCGGCAGTATCCGGCCAGGAGACAGCATCTGGTTCTGTCTCTGGCTCAGCCTCGCAGGCAGAGAGTTCGACGTCGTCACCGATTGCATCGCAACTAGATCTGCACACAGTGAGTCTCCCAGGGAGAATTTAAGGCAATTTGACTTAGGGACTACCTTTCAACGGCTACAAAAGGCCTATTTTGATTAATTGCTGTACTCACTTCCATGTCGAGTGAAAGTGTTTGATGAAGAGA